GCCGTAGTCAAGGCTACATCCGATGCTTCGCTCCCGTCAGCAACATTCCCAACGTCAAGTAACGGAGAACGAAGGGAAGCCGCCGTCGCCGAGTCAACTACTCCCACGTTCGTCCCGAACTCGTCAAGACCAGGGAGCGATCCAGAATGAGGAGGGGACAAAGAAAGGTCTCGTTCCGTAATCTCCTCCACAACGACTTCCTCAACCTCATGCTTGTATTTTTTCTCATTAAACACCAAGGCATCCCTCATCCTCTTCGGTACCTGCAAACCCCACGATTCCAATACATCCAACGATTGCAAAGTCCCAAGAGCCTGGCAGTGGAGACAAAGCTTCGTCTCGAGCTTGTCGCGATCGGCCATATACTTGCGAAATTTGTCGAAACGAGCAGCCGCTGCTACCATGAGGCGTCCCCTCTCCGATGTAACCTCGCGCGCCCTTGTCTGCTTCATGAAACCTATCATCTTCTTGTGTTCTTCAGCCTCCTCGATTTTCTCGCGCTCCAGCTTCGCGATTCTAGTCCGAGCGTTCTCTAGGTCCTCTTCGAGACCATTAGCTCTCTCGGCAGCCTGCTTGCGTTCGCGTTGGCTGCGGACTCTCTCGGCAGCCATCTCCTTTGCCTTCTCCGAGGCATTCCGTCTCGCCTTCTCCAATTCCGCATCCTTGGCTTTGATCTCTGCTTCGGCTTTGCTAAGGTCGGACGCCATCTTCCGCATAGCAAGTTCGTAATCCAAGACAAGCTGGTTCTTACGAGCAGAAGCCTACAGCAACAAGAACAATGGTGGTTAACGCAACCACGAACGATGACAGAAAGGAGGAAAGGACGATCGACCGAACATACACAATTTTTGTTAAAAATATAGAAGAACGAACAAGAGAGAAAGGCCTTACTACTGCGTCTGCATGAGCCGACTCGGAAAACTTAGCGGGAAAAGCGAGATCGCGAATGTCCGGCATCTCACGCGCACTACCTCGAATGTTACGCGACAGCTCGGCGCACGACCCTATGTCGTTGACGAAAGGCGTGTCCTTCTTGTGACGAAAATCCCAACGTTCGGTAGCAGCCAACGGGGGCTTCTTGGCTGGAGGGCCTGATCCACCCCAAGGGAGATTACGCGAAGACGGAGGAATCGCCTCTCGAGAAAGACCGGCCGGCTGCTGACTCACCTTCCTCAAGTCCTTCTCAGCGGGACCCTTGGAGGAATCGTCAATCGACCTCTTCCTCTTCGCCGATGGCGGATTGCTCTTCTCCCCTACAGCTGTTTTCTCCTTAGGTAAAGTCACGGTGCCATCAGCCTGCGCTATCTCATTAACTCCAACGCTTGATGAATCGTTGGGAGCAACCTCGGTCTCAACATCCTTAGCCCCGACGTCTTCAGTATCAGCCTTCTTGGACGACCTGTGCGTTTTCTTCTTCTTCTTTCTCAGAAGAGAATCAGAATCGCGATCAATCGTCTCACCCACTGCCAAGTCCCCTTCCGGACGATCAACGCCTTCGCTAGGCGGAATTTCGCCCCCCTCGTTACCCGCCTCTAGCGCGGCCGCGGGATCGAAAGTCTCATCACCCAGTTGGGCATTCAGAATCTCGCTAAAGTTAGGATAGACTCGCGGAATTTTCCCCATCAGTGGAAGCGGTAGTCTCTTGCCTTTGAAATCCTCACAAGGGATATCGGAAGCCCAATCAACTGCAAACAATAGGACGAGATCATATCAACAACATATAAAAAAACAAATCGATCGGTCAACCATTCACCACAAAAATCCAAAAGGCATGCACCCATCCAAGAACAACAAAGAGACGGGAGAGTTGAAGGGAATAGACTATCTCGCGAAATCATATCAACGGTACTTTAAAAAAAAAAAAAAAAAAAAAAAAAAAAAAANNNAACAAAAAAAAATATACTGTCAGCGATAAAACCCGACAATAGCAGCAAAGAACTGTAAACTACCAATATGGCAGTTCCAGGAAGTACGAAATCGATCGGCAGGCGGCTCTTCGAAAGCAGCCCCGTCCGACTTTATATAAAAGTAAGAACGTTGCCAATGTTTGGTCTTCGTAGGATGACCGGACAAGATATGCAACCCGGCGCGCATTTGCAACGCGTACAAATCGCATGCCTTCGGTTGTATTTGCGTCAACTCCTCGAAGATCCGAACGCTCATCGAAACGTCAACTTCAGCCGCCATCACCGACAAAGCAACAATGAACCTCGTTACCCCATTCATCAACTGCGACATCGGGACGTCCCGACGAGCACAATACGCAGTAACCAATCGAGGGATGGGAAACCATAGCTTCGAATCCCTTTCAAAGAAAGACTCATAAACGCAATGAAACCCAACAGGCGGAGTCCACGGACGTTGATCGGAGCGAGGGACGATGAAAGTAACACCATACGCCCTGCGCCCCCTCAACAATGTAGCAACGCTATTTTCGGTAGACCATGTAGGAGAAACGTTAGCCCAATTCTGCCCCTTTATCTTGGAAGGACGAACGCGACTCGGCGAAACATCCGGCAGCTGTTCGAATTCCCCATTCGTATGGTAGAAATAGGGAATCGAGCGCTCGGCCTCCCCGCATCCAACTTCGCGACTTTGCTCCTCACCTTCTTCCGCGAGATCCCCCGCGAGGACCGGAGATCGATTAACGACGCCGTCCACTGCGCCATCGTCGTCCGGACCGACCTCCCCCTCATCAGCCGAAGACCTTTCAACCTCACTCTCAATCGGCGGATCCTCCTCCGAATCCTCTAACCCATCCAATCCATCGGCCAAACACCTCCCGTTACCACTATCCCGAAGACAACCGATTTTTGTCGGGTGAGAATCAAGAGACCGATCGGTCTCGCAAGCTTCCCTCAATCCATCAATCTCAACATCGTCATTCGCACATCGACCGCCCCCACCTTCCCGAGCAAAGTCATGGACGTCGTCGGATCGACCGACATCAGGGCAAGCGCCGTCGATCGGAACGTTGCGGCGGGCGTCCGACGTGAAACCTCGAGACGCGATGTCGGGCGAAAGCTCTTCCAATCGCGTTCCTTCGCCTCTCTCATTCAACGAGAACCTCTCCGTCGGAGCATCCATCGATCGCCCAAACCCAGATTTCAGATCCACTTTTCGGCGATAAGTCTTCCGCGGCGGCGAGAGAAGCAAATCCCGGCGGCGAGCAGACGATTCCGGCGGTGGACGAAGAACACCGGCGGCGGTTGAACTCGCGGCAGGCGGAAATCGAGTAACAAAAAAAAAAAGGGAAAAGAGGGGAAGGGAAAGGAGAGAAAGAAAGAAGAAAGGGAAATACCTTGAGAGTAGAGAAGATTAAAGGAAATGAGAAGAGAGCCTTATATTTATAAGGAAGCTCACGGAGACCGAGGCCGTCAGAAAAATTAAACCTAATGGGCCTAGGCGTCCGCAATTATTTTTTTTTCCCGCCGAGACATTCCTCTCCCTCGTTTAAACCAACGATGGGTTAAATCGAGAAGTCATCGGGTGAAGGCTCGAAGGCATATATATGCAAAATTTGAATTAGTCGAAATCAAGGAAGAGGAGGATTAAAACAATCGTCCATCACGCGCGCAGATAACCCGAGCCAGTCATTCTTAAAGCCAATTCATCACAATCCGCTTCCAAGAAATCGGGCTCCTTGCAAACGGACTGGGGGGGACTTACTGTTGGAGGAGGATTGATCATCCATCCCCAAGGCCCATCGAATGACAGTCTTTGGCCCATCTAAAGTTCGACCGAAATACAATTGGAAGAAACGTCAAAATAGAAGTCCGAACGACCGGTTCAGTTACATAACCGGTTGATGAGGACGATTTAAACCGGGTTAACGAGTAATTATTGGCTCGAAAGCCCATTAAGCACGAGCTCGATCTTGGGCCTCTAAGACGAGCTTTAGGGCGAACGAAGCAGGGAAAAAGAACTTGGAGTATAAAAGGACGAAGAGGGGGAAAGAGAAAGGGATCCGCAAATTACTACAAGAACACTGACGGCAAGGTTTAGGGTTTTACGATTGATCGAACCTCCTTGTAATCTGGTCGGACTTTCATAAAGCTCCGACCTTTGTTCTTTTCTCGAATCTTTCTGTAATCTCCTCTTGATATCAACTCTGATTAATAAAACGCCTTCGAAGAACCCACAAATCGAGTTTAGTTTTCTAGTCAATCGACCGTACAAAACTCAGATTCAACAAATACCTCTATTGCATTTCCGTATTTGGTGAGAAAATGACTCCATATTAAGAACTAAATGGTGTTCTTGGGATGTTGTACTCTGAATAAATGAATGCTCCATATTTCAGAAAGGTGGTCACATCACATAGCTACCTTCTCTTGGATCTTCTCTCAGAGTTGGATCAAGTCACTATAAAAGTTCGAAACATTATGTGTCTCCCGCTTTGATACAACATAAAAGTTGTAAAGTAATATGCGGACAAAAAAAAAAAAGCGGACAAAAAAAAAAGAGTAGTGACTAATATTTTTAATTTGCGAGCACGATTAAAATGTAAAGCAATAAAGATCTAACTGGGTCTTGATCGGTTCTTTTAATCTTTCCAATCCCCGACCAAAATAAAATGATAAGATAACTACAGAAAGAAAACTTCTTAAACAAGTTATCTTTCTTTTTTGTATGGAATTTCAGTTAATAGGAAAGAGAGGCGGAGAATAAGGGGAAGCGCTCATAGAGAGAGAGGAACAAAAGACAATAGTTTTATAGAAAACTCTTTTTCTATTCATCCTCTCATTTCGCTTTCCTACAAAATTAAACAAAATGAAAAATAACTCACCAGGTTTCTGAGAAAAAGAGACAAACCCAAAAAATTAAAGAGGAAAAACAACTAAAGAAACATCATTTTTGATTCAAAAACATCATCATCTTCAGACCACGACAACGTCTCTAAAATATCATCATTTTCAGACAACAAACAACAACGTCTCTCTTTTGACTTCTTCTGAATCTTTGATAATCTTGAAGGAGAGAAGGAGGGCTATAAAAAGATGTGGCTGGCGAAGAACAATAACGTGGGAATCAAGGAAGGAGGATCAACAGGAGTTGTGGCTGTTGCAATCGACAGAGACAAAAGTAGCCAACACGCTCTTAAATGGGCCGTTGATCATTTGTTGCAGAGAGGCCAATCTGTTATTCTCGTCCATGTCAAGCTTCGACCTTCTCCTTTAAACAATACCTCTACTCTTCATGCTTCCTCCTCAAGTAAACAAATAAACCCTTCCCTCTGTTTTTTTTTCTCTGTTCTATGTTTATTCATGGTTTGTGTTTTTTTTTTTTGTTTCAGAGCTGAGCCAAGATTCTTCATTAGTATGCAGAGATCCAGAAGGCGCTTCCAAGGAGCTATTCCTTCCTTTTCGTTGCTTCTGCACCCGCAAAGATGTGAGTTTCTTGGTCTAGATTCTTATCTCTTGCCCTTTCTTGTTTTTGTTTGCTAATGAGAATTTGTATAGATACAATGCCAAGATGTGTTGCTTGAGGACTACGATGTAGCCAAAGCATTAGTTGAATATGCAAACCAAGCGGCCATTGAGGTTTTAGTTGTTGGTTCCTCCAACAAAGGTGGCTTTCTCAGGTTCAACAAACCTACAGATATACCTGTTGCCATATCGAAAACCGCACCTGATTTCTGCACGGTTTATGTCATATCCAAAGGAAAGATTTCATCAATGAGATCAGCTTCTCGTTCTGCACCCACCAATGCTCCTCTACGCACTCCTATTCAACCACCTAGCTTAAGGCCACCTCAACCTGTGCCTTCTACTGCCACTAACATGCGAGGTTGTAAAAAAGCACATACAAAAGTTATCTTTCTTTCTTCCTTCTTATAAGATGTTTGTTTTTTTCTCTTCTTTTCTGCAGCTGATAGACAGTCTTTTGAGTCTCAACAACGAAGGTCTGTCGAAGATCAGCAACGCCGGTCCATGGAGGATCGCAGGTCTGTGGAGGATCGTAGGTCTGTGGAGGATCAATCAGACTCATTCAGGTACATATCTCTTGTGTTTTCATTTATACAATCATCTTCAAAACTCAAAACTGAAACTCCATTGGATGAAAACAGATCTCCTTTTACTAGAAGAGGCTATGGGAGATCATATGGGGACCTAAGTGTTCCAGAATCAGACATATCCTTTGTCAGTTCCGGTAGACCGAGCATAGACCGTATCTTCCCTAATCTAAACGACATTAATGATCCAAATCGAACTCCTCCTAGGCTGTCTAATTTCTCTGATATGGACTATGGTCCCAACTTTGAGTCCAACTATGGAAGGAGATCAGTGGATGTAAACTCACCTACTGATCTCTCATCTGGTTCTTTTGAGAGTGAAAGATTCTCATCAGCTTCAGCAATGGTAAGACCGTTAGTGTCATACCTTGCATATCATTTGTTTGATCTATAAAGCTAAGAGTTGTTAAAATTGTGGCAATTACCATGAGCAGGATGATGTAGAGTCTGAGATGAGGAGGCTTAAACTGGAGCTGAAGCAGACAATGGAAATGTACAGCACAGCTTGCAAAGAAGCACTTACAGCAAAACAGAAGGTATGGTTTCTACAAACACAAGTGTTTCAGTTTTGTTCCTTAACGTGTTGGTAATCACAGGCCACCGAGCTTCAGCGTTGGAAGTTAGAAGAAGAGAGGAAACTAGAAGAGGCAAGACTAGCAGAGGAAGCAGCATTGGCTATTGCAGAGAAAGAGAAAGCAAGGTCAAAAGCAGCTATGGAGGCAGCTGAAGCAGCTCAGAGGATAGCTGAACTAGAGTCTAAGAAGAGAGTCAACGCAGAGATGAAAGCTCTCAAGGAGTCTGAGGAGAAAACAAAGGCTCTCACCGCTTTAGCAAACTCTGATGTAAGGTACAGGAAGTACTCCATTGAAGAGATTGAAAGTGCCACAGAGTTTTTCGCCGAGAAGTACAAGATTGGAGAAGGTGGTTATGGACCTGTCTACAAATGCTATCTTGATCACACACCAGTGGCTGTTAAAGTTCTTCGTGCTGACGCAGCTCAAGGAAGATCTCAGTTTCAACAAGAGGTTGAGGTGTTGAGCAGCATCAGGCATCCAAATATGGTTCTACTCCTTGGAGCTTGTCCTGAATGTGGATGTTTAGTCTACGAGTTCATGGCCAACGGGAGCTTAGAAGACTGCCTTTTCAGATTAGGCAACAGCCCGCCTCTCTCGTGGCAGATGAGGTTCAGAATCGCTGCAGAGATAGGTACTGGACTATTGTTCTTGCACCAGGCTAAACCAGAGCCTCTGGTTCACCGTGATCTCAAACCGGGAAACATCTTGCTTGACCGTAACTTCGTCAGCAAGATATCTGATGTTGGTTTAGCAAGATTAGTCCCACCAACGGTTGCAGACACTGTGACACAGTACCGCATGACTTCAACCGCTGGCACGTTCTGTTACATTGATCCAGAGTATCAGCAAACAGGAATGTTGGGCGTGAAGTCTGATATCTACTCGCTCGGCATTATGTTTCTGCAGTTGATAACAGCAAAACCACCAATGGGTTTAACTCATTATGTGGAGAGAGCACTTGAGAAAGGGACTTTGGGGGATTTACTTGATCCAGCTGTTACTGATTGGCCAGCTGAGGACACAGCAGAGTTTGCCAAGCTAGCACTGAAATGCGCAGAGTTAAGGAGGAAAGACAGACCTGATCTTGCTAAAGTTATATTGCCAGAGCTCAACAGATTAAGAACACTCGCTGATGAATCTGAGCAAGTCTCTCAATAGCCCCGGACCGTCGGTGAGAACTGGTGAAAACTGAAAAAGACAGTGAAATCCACAAAGACTCAGCTTATGTCTAATTATTCAACACACATTTGCAGGAACAGATGAGTAGTGCTTTTATCACCGAGCCTCTACGAACAAATAGAGGCAATCTTACAGGACTGAGATGAGGTTACAGTTTTTAACTAATGTAGATTAAGATATCTTCTTTAAATATGCTTATGAAAATGAGAAACTCAAGAATTTGCATGCTCAAGGAGATGCAGAAGAGTGTCTTTCTTGTAGATAAAGTGTTTCATAATTGTACAGATCAATCTTGTAATCTAACTTAACCATAAATTAAGATCACCCAGTCCTTGGAATAAAAGTTGACGCAATTTCTAGGTTCTTATTGATCTAAACCACAAAATGTAGAGATTCTTTGTGAAAGATGAGATGGCCGAAAAGATAATTTAGTAGAAATTCAAGTCAAAACAACAAGAAGAGCCGCATAATCGATATCTAAAGGGTCTTGACAAGAAACATGAGAAGAAAACAAGAAGCTACAACTCTTGAATCTCAAACAGAACCAAAAATTTACTCCCAACCACCAGCTGGAACGGCTGCTGGGGGTGGCACAGCTGGGTCCCATCCATCTGCAGCTGGAGCAGCTGAAAAAACATGTTAACATCAACATTAGATTCTGATAAAACAACCCAGAAGCCAAGGCGCTTAGATCTTTGTCAAAAACTTACCACTCCCATCATTCCAAGAAGCAGCTGCAGGAGCCGCACTGATTGGCTGCTGAGCATCTCCAGTCCACGAAGCATCAGGAATCTGAGCAGTGGTCCATTCTCCACCGGCAGCTCCGTATTCAGCTCCAGGAAGTCCATACTCTGCCTGAGGAGCAACTTCTTCGTCTTCAACTTGCTTAGCCTCCTCTGGCTCTCTGTAAAAGAACAGGTCCACCTGTACAACACAGAACATACCCAAATGTGAACAAACCTCAATAATCAAGACGTAAAAGAATGATTTAATCCTCTTACCATGACATCCCACTTCTGTGCAGGACGGATGGTTCCGCGCATCTGAAGAACCATGCGAGCAAGAAGCCAGAAAAGACAACCAATGCTGTGCTTTCCCTTGTTGTTTGCAGGGATCCCAATGTCGACAAATCTCATGGGAGAGTCTGTGTCACAGAAAGCAATGATTGGGATGTTTCCCAAAGCCCCTTCCTTGATTGGCTGCAAACACACACACACATTAACATCTAAAGACATTGACCAATCAGTTACATAACTCATTGCTTTTACCTGATGGTCAGTCCTAGGGTCTGTAAGAATCAACAACCTAGGCTCACTGAAGGAAGTCTGCATCTGATTGGTGAAAGTACCAGGAGTGTGTCTGCCAGCAATGGCGTTAGCACCAGTGTACTGTGCAAACTTGAGCACAGCTCTCTGTCCATAAGGTCTAGCGGATTGAACAATAATGTCTTGTGGGTTCTCAATAGCAACGATGACTCTAGCAGCCATCTGCAACTTCTCCCATGTTTTTCCGAGGTTGAAAATATATATACCTGACAAAGAAACGTTTCTTACATTAAATAAAGAATGTTCAGACAGTAAAGTAAAATGTTCTGTAGTAATAAGACACAGAGTAACTACAAATCTAAATCTCAATAAAACTAAAGACACTCATCGATCTAAGCAACTAACTGGCGAAGATGAAAGAGAGATTACCATCGTTGCGTCTCTTGAAGACGTAACGCTCCATTTGGTAATTGCAATTCTTGGTACCGAGGTGAACCTCAGCGGCACACATCATCTTGATGTCGGATTCCTTCTGGGAGAGCTGTGCGTTAGTCGCCATTTTTTGTTACTCTCTCCTTCTTCTTCTTCTCCGGGAAGCAACTCTAGATCACGAGAGCGGCGTTTAGGTCTGAGGAGGAAGAAGAGTCTATAAAACTTAAAAACGCTAATCAGACGACCAGAAACCCTAATTTGTTAATTGTCTGTTTTGCCCTTGTGTCATCCCGTAAATAAATATATAAAGACCGCGGTTAAATTTTTATTTACTGTTTTTTTTTCTGCGTGAACATCCATCTACGGTATTTCTCATATCCGGTGATGAATCGTGGCATAATAACAGATTAAGTTGGTCGGAATTCAGTTGGTTTCGTACATGTCTAGGTTCTTCTTACCCACTATCAACTAAATATGACTGGGATGACATACTTATCAGTGGATATTGAAAATTACAAAAAGATAGAAGCAATGACATAATAAGCTTATAACTTCTGGACAGTGACAAACATAGTTTACTTAAAACTAACTTTCTTTTTAACCCATTGTGAGCTCACATGCTCTTGAACCCCTCGTTGCAATTTCCAATTCCTCAAACACCAAACGTTTGTTCACCATGAATGCTGGGAAGACAGTTGCGGTCACTAATCGCCTCGCCTTCTTTAGTATATAAACTGCCACTTCTTTCTCATCTTCTGTTCCGTTGTAGTCTATCCACTCAAAGGTTTTGAGATGGAACAACAAACATTCGGGAACACAGCTCGGCTGAATCCAACAAACTTTGACACCTCGCTCAATATTCCAGCTGTTCAGGCCATTGTCCAGAACAACGAGCTTGAGAAATTGAAGTACAGGGGAATGTTGGAGCACGTGCATAAGCATATTCGACCAGTTCCAATCACATCCGCGGAACTTCAAACGCACAAGCTGATAGAATATGCTACCAACAGGATCCTGAGCAAATGCAACAATGTAGTGACAAAGCAAAAGTCAGATGCGGTTCTAAAATGGCAAGCGCACCGAAGCGCAAGGCCAAACACCTCAGGCCTCCTAGGCAAGGCTAGTTCCTTCAGGCGCTCCCCATGGTGCGCCTTGACTTAAATATACAGCGCCTAATGCGCTTCAAAGGCGCAAGTTTCGTGTTAAAACACTACTTTGACTGAACCCTTAAAACAACTTTGAAACCCTATCCTCACAACATGACGCTTAAGTCCTTAGAGTTTTAAGTGTTTTGGTTTTTTTGGATTAAAGCGATTGACTCTAGTTTTCAAGTTCTTTGTTTTGGTGTTTTGGATTTTATCAATGTTTATATAGCTAAACTATATTAGTGTGTACATGCATAACTGACTATGTTAGTATGTATATGACTATTTGGTATAGCTGACTGACTATATTACTGTTGTATAAGGCTAACCGTCTACACTACTCTATGACCATCTTATGTACTTAACCATAGTAGTTACACCGTGTATAGCTAAAACACACACACACTTCTAGTCTAGGAATATCAATGCATCTTTAAGTTGCTCTATAGCTCTACTATATTAGTAACCTACGTTGGAAATGAGTCATATGACTCATATCCATAAGGCTAGCTCCTTGGAGTGCGCCATGCGCCATTTAAAACACAGGGTTTGGCAAGTGTGTTAGAATTACAAAAGAAAATTAAAAAGAAGCAAATTACCAATCCGTATAAAGTTAGAGAAAGACGTTTGGCGGCGGTAAGAGATTCCAAAGCATTCCCTCCGGTTTCGAAAGTATGAAGACTTGCCTCCACAAGCTCGGCCATTTTACCGATCACATTAACGTCACCACACTCAACCACAATACTCAAACGGTTCAAAGAATGTGAATGTTATCACAAACAAACTATAATTAGGCCCCGAATCTTGCAACGTATTCCAAACAGTTAAACTCCGAAGAGAAGGCACATCGATGGTGAAAGTCTCCACATTGTCATCGCTACAACTGTGAACAACCAGATTTTCAAGAACAGGGCAACTTGATATAAGCCTAACGAAAGATTCCTCGTCAGCATACTTAACAGCAAGAAGGCGCAATGTCTTAAGTGATCGTAAGCTAAACCCACAAGGAAGAACATCCAAGAAAGTAACCCTATGGAGTTCCAAGGCTTCGAGTGTTTCACATCTAAAAAGACTACTCGGCAATCTTATTAAGCAATGTTCTTCGAGGAAGCTTATCTTCAGATCACGCACGAAACGATCGACTGCGATTCTAACCCATAGATAGATTTCAGAATCGCTGCATCCAAAAGCTTTGGTGAGGTGGAAGGTTTCTATAACTGGTGACTTGTGTAATAGTAAAGTCCAGGAGACAACATGTGACGGCAAAGCTATGCAACGGACTATGTTGGTCTCCTCGATATCAATCCAGTAATCTTCGAAAGTGAGTCTTGGCACCGTTGTCCAAAGTGACAACCATCGTTTCGACAAAACGCTTGTCGCCACGGCAACTTTTGTCGGAGCAAACGACAGTATCTTGATGAGCAAATCATCAGTCAACTCACTAAAGCTGTCCATATTATTTCAATCGCTAACAAAGACGAAAAGATTGAGACTTTTAGACTTGAGCTTCACCTGGGAACAGCAAGAATACTAAAGATTTGTGAAATTACAAAAAGGGTATCGATAATTTTAAAGCAGAATTTGAGAAAAATAATAAGGGATTTGGAAAAAAAGGAAGAAAGCAATAGAATGAGAGTGCATAAGCGAATAAGGTAAGTTAAAGCTGAGAAATACCTTTGCAACTTCTCCTCACACACAGTCGAAGAAGCAGAGATTCCACACTCACTACTTCGTCATTTCAGATGAACCCTAAATCCTAAATTGAATTTTTTTTTTCTTTTTTCCTGTAACAAAAAAGAAAAAGAACTCAAAACGGGCGACACATTTTTTAGAGTAAACTTTTCCAGAAAAAATATATAATTTTCTTTAAAAAGCACCAGATATTTTTCTTAAATACCATACAAGTAAAACTGGATTCTAACCAGTGTTCCAGTGTTTCAATGTTCCAGTGTTCCGAAACTTGCTAGGCGTTACGCGTGCGATGTACTAGCGCCTAGCGATTTATCGAGAACGCGGGAAAAAAACAGAGAGTACGAGGGAAGGAATTTTTGTATTTTTATACGTATAATACATTATTTATATGTATATTACAAATTTTTACATTATTTATATGTATAGCACATGTTTATTTTTACATACATAATATATATTATAGATTAATAATCTTAGAGTAACCAAATTATTTGTAATTGTTGAGGTAAAGTTGTTAGTGGGCTTGTTTTAAATTGATACAGCCCAAGATAAATTTAAGAATAACACGTTTTGGTTTTTTTTTTATTGTTTTCTTCTAACGAGTGGCATAATGGTAATTACTTCATCATCTTCCTTATGATTCTTAGAGCAGCCCCATTAGAGTTTTTAAAGAGGTTCATAGGCCCGAAATCATAGGTTTGGGCATTAAAAATAAAAGAGAAATGGGCTAATTTCGGTGATCCGCCCCTTAGCCATGAACCCGAAGAGTAGCGGTTCACGCCACGCGTCAGCTACGTGTTGGGTGAGCGAAAACGCTGCGTTTGCTGGGAAAGCTTGATTTCCCGAGTTTTGGTCATTCGCGATATTTCGAAAAGAAAATTAGGTTTTCTTTTGCTCTGTGGCGACTCATCGGGCGAAACCGACTCTCCGTCTTCTCTCCGTCTTCTCTCCCTTTTCTCGTCGCCGGAGTCACTTATCGAAGATCTGCGGTGAGTTGAGAGTAGATTCACTGTCAAACAATGTCGATTTCGTTTTTTCGGATTTTAGGGATTTTCAATTTGGGGGTTTTGCAAACTAGGGTTTTAAATCGACTGTAGTGATTGATTTAAGGGATTTTATCGGTGATTAGTTACCTATTTACGGGTTTCGAGTAGAGGATTTTCGTGGCCTTTTCGGATTTTAGGGATTTTCAATTTGGGGGTTTTGCAAACTAGGGTTCAAAATCGACTGTAGTGATTGATTTAGGGGCTTTTATCGGTGATTAGTTACCTATTTCCGGATTTCGAGTAGAGGATTTGAGATCGATTTACGGGTTAAGTTTTTTGGGGTCTAACTTGTGATTGTTTTTTTTATCGGTTATCATAACTCGATTTAGTTGTTTTCTTGTTCTAATAGTCTCTGTTTGTGTCACAGATGGATCCCGGAGATGAAAGAAGTCAATCGAAGAGGCAAAAGGAGTTCATGACTATGATGGGGTTTGTGGCCGATTCCGAGTACGGCATTCCAAGGCGGTGTCCATGCGGCGGGAGAATAATTGATGAGGTCAATGGTAAGGAGGCTTTCGACATGCTTCCTGGGAAGCGGTTCTTCACGTGCAAGAATTACGAGGTATGGTTCTTGTTGCTTACTAAGGTTTGATGTCTATGTTTAAGTTGTTTTCAAGTTTTGGTTTTAATGATTTTGGGGTTAATATGTTTCTGTTTTCTTGTATGGCAGGATGATGGCTCCCACTATCGCCAGCCTTGGGTTAATGGAGTTCAGGAGGAGATAGAAAAGCTGTCTAAGCGAATGGAAGCGGCTGAGGAGGTGATCAAGGGGATGCCAAATCTCACAAAACTAATTGAGAGTCTTGAGGTTAGTTAAGTTTGGTTAGTGCATTATACTTGTTTTACTTATAGTTTTCCCTAGTTATTAAGTCACTAACAACGGCTTCTCTTGCTTGTTTACATGTAAGGATGAGGTCAAAATCATGTCTTCCCAGGTGGATAACCTGACGGTGCAGGTCTCAATCCTGGAGAAGATATGCTTCGAATGAATTAGGCAAAGGTAAACTTCAACTTCAACTTGTCTAAAGTGTTTTACTGTAACTAAAATTTTCGAAAATAGTAGTTCAGTTAACAAACTAAAACATTTAAACTATAAAGTAAAACTTTTTAAAAATAGTAGTTCTGTTAACAAACTAAAACATTAAAAATATAAGTAAAACTTTTTAAAAATAGTAGTTCTGTTAACAAACTAAAACATTTAAACTAAAGCTGTCCATATTATTTCAAACGCTAACAAAGACGAAAAGATTGAGATTTTTAGACTTGAACTTGACCTGGAGGCTGGAGCAACAAGAATACGAAAGATTTGTGAAATCACAAAAAGGGTATCGATAATTTTAAAGCAGAATTTGAGAAAAATAATAAGGGATTCGAAGAGAAGGAAGAAGGCAATAGAATGAGAGTGCATAAGGTAAGTTAAAGCTGAGAAATACCTTTGCAACTTCTCCTCACACAGCGTCGAAGAAGCAGAGAGTCACACACACTCACCACTTCGTCATTTTAGATGAAACCTAAAACGGGCGATTCGTTTTTTAAAGTAAACTAAACCCTTTAACAAAAAAAAAAAAAAAAATTAAACTAAACTTTTCCAGAAAAATATTACATTTATTTAATTTTATGTTATGTTAAATATAACAAACTTAGTTGTTATTAAACAAACATATAATATTAATATAATATTTAAATATATTCAAAATTAGATATCAAAAAGATACTCTTAACTAATTTTTCATATTACATTTTAACAATATCTTTAATATTTTTTCATTTTAAATATAAATATTTACTGTTTTAATATTATTTAATACTAAAAACTAAAATAATATTAAATTAAATTACAAATGAATATTAACTCATTTTTATTTATAGAATAAAAAATAACTTTCTATAATATTTATATATAAATATTTCATATTTGTAATTACAAATTACACTAAATAATTATTATATAATAACTAATTTTTTTATAAATTATAAACTAAATGAATTATATTTACAGAATAACATATATTTATATAATTTACAACAAACTTTAACTTATTAAAGAAAAATAATAAAATAAGATAATTAAAATAAAAAATAATTTATACTTTAATATACATATCTAAATTAAAATATCATAATGAAATTTAATATAAAATACAATACTACATTTAGTTGACAATAACATTATCTGATTATATGGTATACTGAAGTGTATATTATGATATACAATTATAGTTTCTTACAAATTATTTCATAAAACTGTAAACAATAAAAAAATAAATTCATATTATAGATTTAATTTTTTAAATATAATTAAAATTAATATGAGGTGGGTTAAATAAATAATTATCTTATTTCCACAAAATTATATTTATAAAATTTTAGTTTAATTAATATTCTTTAAAAAAGTTTCTTTATAAAAAGTACATATATATACTTTATATTTTTGGTAAATAAAATTTTAAAAATTTATAGACATCTAAATTAGGTTTTAAGTTAGACTTGAGCGTTCAGGTATCCGTTAAGATATGAGTTGGATATTTTGAATTTTTGTTCTAATTTATATCACATCTTAAGTCTCATTGTGTTAAATTTGTAAATACGGATTGTAGTTTGGATATAACACATTGGTTTTGGTTTTAATTTGTATCACATCTTAAAACCATAAAATAATTATATATTATTAAAATGCGGTTTATACTAGTTTGGTCTGAATATTTCCAAAGTTTAATCTAAAATTTTAATGCAAAACATAGGAAATAAATAATTATTTATATAGAATCAAGATATGTAAGATACTTTTAAAAATTTAATAATCTTTTTCTAGATATCACTCGAATATAGAATGAAATATTCATATTCTATATTTATGTTTCAAAAATATTTATATTTTTAATTAATTTAAACATTCATATCGGTTTCTAAAACTTTATAGGCATTTTTGGGTTATTGGTTTGGGTTAGCTAATAACACTTCGGGTT